TTAAAAAAAAAAAAAAACCTCACCACCAAAACAGTTTGGACGTCACAGTGTATCAAAATCTCCACTCTCTAAAACAAATTAAGTCCCAAATGAAGAAACCTCAGATGTATGATTTTTGTCCATGTAGAGTGAAAAAAACCTTTTGCAATAATCAAATAGGAGCTAATGGGCATTACGAATTAGATGATATAAGGTAGTACCAACAAGAAACATGTCATCGAATAACAAATAAAATTTAAAATCAGTCTACTCATTTTGTATTTGTTGCATTTACTATCAACACAAAATGTCCATGGCAAAGTAAATCGGTTACTGATAATAACTAATACATCTTGACAAATTTATTCGCCTGTCTGAAATATGGCTTAATACAATTGGCCAAGCAGGGAGTCAAGATAGCTAGATATTACCAAAGGTATTTTTTGGCTTGTTTATGGACCAAGTGTGACCATGAGAACGAGCCTGCCAAGATGGTAGACAGTTTGTCTAAGTCCCTACCATCCTGGCACCCTCATTACCATGCATGATCGTACGCATTCAAATTTCCTGCTCTTTATCACTTTATTAAGTTTTCTCACGGGGTTTCGTTCCCTCGTTGGGTGAATAATTTTCTTCAACTGCCTTTTTTTGGCGGCTGGTGGAAGTGTTGCATGCCATCTTAGGATCAGACAGTTGCAAGGCAAAAGCAATGCTAGCTATGTTTGTGATGTTTTTATCGCCACTAACGACCTTTGTCGATGAAAGTCGTGGCTTCTTTCAGCCAAAGCTTAAAAATTAAAAAATTCTTAGGTCTAAAATTCTAATATATCTTTCCCATTAGCAGCTGGTATTAAGGTTGAAGCCTGGTGGGACGTTGTCTCATTATCAGGCAGTGGCGTTTTATACGATTTTGCCTATGACACACCCGGTCTAATCTTTATCAAAACGACTTTTTAAATATTCTTTTTTTTTTTTAACCAGTTCATGCCGTGATTCCCCTTTTAGAAGGAGCTCAAAATTGTTAAATGGACGAAGGAGCGCAAGCACACAGTCCATGTGCGTTTTCTTTAAAATGTGAGGTTAAACACAATTTCAGATGAAAATACTATTTGAAAGAAATTTACTTTGACTTAAGTTTATTAAGACCTCAACAACAACGAGGTTTTCGGCCTCATCAGTCATCAGCTATCACCTCATAGATATTTGAAGCTCACTATGTAATTAATTGTTTAACAGAGGTACGGCTTTTAGCACGTGCCTTCTTTCATGGTGGCTTCTATTAAGGATAATATAGAGTCAAGGGGTGAGGAGGGGACTACCGACAACAACATGGGTCACTGTTTTTCCCCAGGTCTTTCCATCCCTAGCCCTTGTAGACTTTCCAATTGATCTACACTTAAGGCGGGGGTACACCTGAAAACACACCATTTTTGCTAACTTTTTCCATGGCTAAAATTTAATTCCAAACCATGGCAAGGTATACATTTCTAGAAAGTTTATAGCCCAAAGAGTATTAAAAAAATGTATTTGTACCCTAGAGCTGTGTTGTAACCTGACACCGGCTGATTAAACCTGACACCTGCTGAAGAATGCTGGGGCTTACTTGAAAAAAGATAACTCCCACAAGAATTGATTAAAATGAATAATTTTTACATTTTTTAAAAGAAGACAAATAGCTTACTGTTTTAAGCTAGACATTTTTGAATACTTAAAAGCACGTGAAATGGCGACCAGTCAAATCTGATACAGAAAATCCGGCGTAGACCAGCATACGTTTCAATGCATAACTTCTACAAAATGCACTGGATGGAAAAGTTCTATGCTTAAAACACAACACCTACTTAGAGCAACAAATCCTGAAAATTTCAGCTCAATAGGACAAATCCTTCTCAAAATATCTTTTTTCAAAGGCAAAAATAACTCGTCTTGAGAAAACGAGCTTTGAACTTACAGTAACAGAAATGTTTCTCAAAATAAAACTTTAATACCTCCGATTCAAATTCTGGCAAAAACAAAAATTCGATCTGTTACAGAATTTTCAGGTGTACTCCCGCCTTAAAATCTGACAGGGATCAAACATGCACTTTCCCTTCTCAACTGGTTTGGCTCTTGTATAAAGTTGCCAGGTATTCTGATTGTACAGAATCCTGCAAAGAGCGTCAGAGTAGGAGGTCAGGCTAGTAAAAGGAATATTTCCTCCTACGAGAACTGGAGGCGAGTTAAATGAGTGACGCGATCGAAGATTACCATTAATGCTCCGTCGTGCACACCAGGGACGCATTTAATGTACTTTGCAGCGTTGTATATTTTCGCAGCAAACCGGCTGGCAACAAGCGATGGCATACAACTCTCTTAGAGCAAGCGAGGAGATTAATGTTGAAAATGACAATGAAGTACTTGGTAAGTTAACAGTACTGAAATTCGTCAGACTTGAGTATCTCCTCGTGTTCGGTTCAGGGTAACGAAAAGACCGACCTTTAGGAAGTTGCTTGCTAACTTTGGCGGTAAAAGAGGGAGCGTAAATGTGCGTTCTACTTTTCGTTGTATTGTTTAATTAAAAGACATAGTTACTTCTATTTAGCTTGTAATGCCAGGAGTGCTAATCAACTGAGGGAAATTGTAGGGGTTAATACACGTACTTTCGTGAGAAAATTATCATGGTAAAAAGTTATATGAAATACTAACTGTTGGTAAGGGCAAAGCTTCGCCTTCAGTTGAGATATTTGTTCCGACATAACTTATTTAAACTTCTGCACATCATTTTCTCCCTTATTCCTTGATGACTCTGTTTGCCAATTCGACTGACATTAAAACACGGCCATGAAAGCGCGCATCGACGGGGTTGTCTATATTAAATGCAAATTGCAAGTTGATTTCTGTGCCGCTTAATTTTAGTCTTTTTATATACGATGTTTTTAAGGGATCAGCAGTAACAGCGTAGCGTGTTCTAAAAACACACCGTCTCCTCCAGACATTGACTTCCTTGCTCGAAATTGTACAAAAATGGTGTTTTGGCCGGGGAAAATGTTTTCTTGTGTCACTTTCGTGACTTCTTTCTCGCTATGCAGTTCAGTGAACCGAATCAAGCAATCATTCGTTGTCGGTTTTATCCCAGGGAAGGGGGACTCCCTATAATATATAGAATGTAAGAGGAGGTTCCGCCCGAAAGGTGTACCTTTAACAGGCTGGAGGTATATTGAAGGATAGGGAAGTTTCACAGGGTAGAAAAAAGGGTGGGGAAAACTGTTATTTAGGTGTTTAAAATATGGTATTTATTTCTCGGGAGGTAAATAATTTTATGTGACTTTTTAGTGTCAGTTGCCAGTTTAGGACAGGGGTAAACATGTTCAACAATTCCAGATTGCTGTCCTCTCTGTTCCTTTAGTTCTCGGAGCAAAGCAGAGAGTACACTTACCCAACCACCCAACTCACCCACCCCTCGTAGATATGATGGGTACCCATTCGCCTTTGCTGAGAATGGCTGATATATTTAGAAATATTTTTTATGCTGTAGTTTCGTTTTGTAGAATAAACGGTCCTCTGGGTGGCCAAAAATGGCAACCACAAGTGTCTGCTTCCACTGTAGGTTATAAAAAAGTATAATTAGGCCTAGCGCATAAAGCGCCTTTCAAAATATCTTGCTAAGAGACGTACCAAACGTCCAATTCATCCAAGTATTTTTGGCAAAAACAATTTTTTACCTCTCCCCTGTCTACTGTTGGGATATAAAAAGAGTGCCATTTTGAATGGAAGGGTGCAAAAGGGTTGATTTTTCTGTGAAAATAGTACAAAAATGGGTAAATGTTTTGACCCTGGGGACAAAGACTCCCCGCATGTTGAGAAGCCTCCCGGATGTCTTATTCCTCCTGATTTTAAGCACTTCTTCCCGTCTTCCACTCTCCGTGATACCACTTTTCTTGTCCCCTGACCTCTTGGAGAAAATTTACACTCAGAAAACTAGGAAAACATATGATATGCCACTCCAAATTGAAGTTTGAGCTAACTGTGTCAAGCCACCATTAAAAGTCCATAAATTGGTTTCTGTTTTATTCAATCAGAGCCCAAAGAAGAAGCCGTTTTAGAAGACCAGAAACTCAATCATCGCTTTTCTGAGCCGTGGGAAGATAGTGACATGGTTCTTATGGTGGAAAATGAGAAGTTTCATGTTCATCGTGTAATCCTAATTGTGAACTCGCCAGTGTTCAAGGCCATGTTCAGATCTGAATTCAAAGAGGCAACAGCCAACGAGGTTCCATTGCCTGAGAAAAAAGCCAACGAAGTACTGGACTTTCTGAAACAACTTTACGTGCAAGAACGAGAGGAAATAACTAGTAAGCAGAATATGTACTACAGCGGCAAAATTGGAAACAGAAATTTTAAAAATTGGCCGTCGTATTTCACGTTTTCTAGAATACGCAGAATGTGGTTTTTCTATGCTGTTGTTTTGTAAAAATGGCAATGAAATGAACAAAGGATTATACGCATCCGTACACAGCTATTGTACTCTTTGCCGTTGCCGTTGCCGTTGTGTTTTGTTTATTTTTAAACTCTGTAGAAAAGAATGAACGGTTGGAGAATGAACAGCCAAACTAGCACAAAGCAAACGAAAGCCCAGCCGAATAAATAGACAGCTAGGAGTGCAGCAAACATCTGTGCTATGAAATGTATTTTGAAAACCATATTTCCCGTCATTTCTTCTCAGGCCAGATTTGATATATCAATATTCTAGTATGACTCCGAGGCTTTCAGGACAAACTTCTATATTTGGTGGCGTTTTCTTTGTTTCCAAGTCTGTTTTAAGAATTTAAGGGGCGAAAGAAATAAACTTAAAGCCTCGGATCTATGCTGGAATATTGATATATCGAACGTGGCCCTATTGCGAGAATGTCGCTAGGGCTGTCCACGCATGTCTAAAAATATACCTTAGGGATTACCTCGGTTAGAGGACCCATATGGGGGATTCACTCACTTACCTTGATAATATTTTGTTGCTGTGCGTTGTTGTTGCCTCAAAAAAGGCTAGTGGTCAATTTAGCTTCATGGTTTTGATTGGACAAGGTTTACTCCATGACCTAATTACTAAGGTAATCCCCTCAAATCAATTTCTAGATCACACCCAGTTTCAAAACTTGAAAAAAGCCAATCCTGTCAGGTGAATTTTGCTCACTTTGACAGCCCCGGAGCCGCCTTTATGCGCGCATTTTCATCTTCCAGGAAACAATCCGCGCAAGGCGTGGGGTCACATAGCCTGCCGGGGAACTGGATACCATCTCTTAAAATAGCATAGTAACTTAGAAATACGGCCTTATGAGGAATCAACTCTACCCTTCGTTTCAATTAAGATACAGCTCATCAGTAATGTTTCACGCCTTGAGTGATTCAGTGAATTGCTCAAGTGTTTATTACAACCTTCTTTTCCCTTTTTTATTAACTTAGTGGAAAACGTGGAGCATCTTCTCAAGTTAAGCGACGAGTACCAGGTAAAAGGCATCTTTGAGCAGTGCGTCAAGTTCCTCGAACATCAGCCAAAAACAGAAAGAAATGTAATGAAGATTATGAGACTTGCAAGCTTGTACAAGCTTAGCAATGTGCTTGAGGGCTCCTACACCACGATAAGGGAAATGAAACGTCAGTCCATTTTAGAAGCTACCCAGCTGGAGGCTCTTGACAAGGAGACCTTGCAAAACATCATGTCGCAAAGACTTGAACGGTTAGAAACGTTTCTTGACCAGTTGTATCCTCAATTTATTGGGGTTGTAGAATGTTGTTTCTGGCTCTGTTCTAGATCAGACAACTTGAACAAAAGTGTCACTTGGTGTCCTTTACATTTCACCAACGGTAAATCACACTCGGCTGATATTGTTAAACGTCTCAAGGAATGTCCAGTTTGCAAGCAAATGTTACTTACAATAATTGAAACAACTAAGTCAACTAGGGAATACTGGGATCGTGCTAGTTCATCATGCAAGTGTGAGATTACTTATAATTATGGTGGCAATTTACGTTTTGACGAAGCTTTGTCATCTTTGATACAGGATTTCTCTAAGTTGATAGAACATCAATTGCCACACAAGTTTCAGCTAGTAAGTGGAATCACTTCTGGAAAGCTTCTTGATATCTTGGACAATTTAAAACACTTTTATCTTATACTAGTTTGAAGTAGGGGGCGCTACTAAGTGTTGATAGCCCAGGCGTCAAATTAATTTGTTGAGTAAGGTCTGTAAGAGGTCGTAACATGCACATAATTTTATTAAGCACATCACTTTATCATGAATGGAAATAATACAACAACATGCATTACGTCAGCTACATAGTAAAACAGGCTCGCGTTATCTTTGAGGGTGATCCTCGAATGCTGCTGTCCTTATAGTGTAGTCTAGAATGATTATACATGTAAAAGCTCTCTCTTTCAATCGGAAGCAGGTTGTCTGAAAGATTAGCCTAAAAGTTTTTCAGTTTTTACGTTATCGCCGGTTCACGGGTGCGCTACACAAGACTTATTTTAGGAAAGTAAATAATTATTATGTTTAAAAATTTAATTTGTGCATAGTCCTGATGATTGTAACTCTTTTTAGGTGTCCCCAATTAGTAGCAATGCTAAATCTCATTGACAAGTGAATAAAGTTATTGTTGTTCAAACCATTATCGAGGGACATCTATGAATGAGGTGTGACTGATAGCTGAGAATTGGTTAAACAGTTTTAACTGTTAGCTGACAAATAGCACGCTTTTAAGATTATAGCTGATCCAAAATCTGCAAAATTAATCGATATCAGAGAAGTGGGATGGTATTAAAAGCCCCGGGTAAACGATCGCAATATTTGAACGCAACATATCGCAACATTGTTGGACGCATGTTGTACGCGTTTGGCCACCCTGTTGCGACGTGCTGAGATGTTGCGACATGTTGGTTGTTGTTGGCTCATATTTGAAAATGGTCAAATTTTTCGTGCAACATTTTTGAACGTTGCATGATGTTGTAGTCGTTTGGCCGGGTTCGTGCAACAATGTCGCGCCCGGGCATGCGCACTAGTTCGATTTTCAATACCCATCATGTCGCAACACGTCGCAACAGTGTGGCCAAACGCGTGCAACATGTTTCGCTCAACAATGTTGCGATATGTTGCGCTCAAATGTTGCGATCGTTTGGCCGGAGCTTGCAAATGCTGAGCCAACAATGTTGGGCTGGGCCGGGCTTTAACTAAAAACCAAGAGACGATTTTTAAGCTTACAGAACCAAAAATGACGTGGAATTAACCAGCGCATAAGTTAAGTGCAAATAAAGCCTGTTTCATTATTAGAGTGGCCCAATTTTGGTGGCACAAAAAGAATAGTTGTGCACGTTTCTTTAGAATTGTCTACGTTTTTTGTATGAGAGTAGACATTTTGTGATGTATTTGTGGCTTTGTAAAAGGTGACCACAAAATAAAGGTAAAGGAAATATACATGTAGGTAGAATTTTTGGTTTATTCGCAAAATATTGAGTAAACAGGTTAAAGAAGAAAATAAAGAAAACATTAAAAAATTCTGTTGCGACTGTACTTTGAATTCTTAAGGATGACGGTAGAATAAGGGTAAAGTTTGAAATTTCAGCAACCTTGACACGAAAAGAGATTAGACTGTGAACAATCAGGTGGTATCCCAGGGATGGTATCAAGGGAAGATCAAGTACGGGGCCAACTGGTAGTTCAAACGGTGAGACAGCTTTCAGTTGAGCTGGGCAGTCACTGAACGGTGTGCGTGAAGATTTTAATCCTCAGATGTTTTGATTGGCTACTTGAAAATAAAGAAATCTTTAACGGAAGTCAAATTGTTCGCGCGGATTGGTGGCGCGAAAAATGTAAAACACCTTGACCAGCCGTGTCTATGGAGGACCATTCAAGAACAGCTGCAGCTGACCTACAAATCGTTTAACTTCACGGTCTGATCAAGGCATCAAGGCATTTAAAAGCGAAACAACCAAAATAAACGATTCAATTGCTCCATGTCAGGAGTCAAAAACAAAGGGCAATAACTGAAAAATCAATGAATGCCAAAGCCTGTTGGTAAAAAAAAATTGGACTGACGAAACATTCTTTAAATTGATACCATTTAAGTTCTGATACAAAGATTCCTCGAGTCTTGCCTTGGCAGCCGCCATTGACAATCCCTTACAACATATAAGAACATTACGATTGCATACTTGAAGACCGAAAGTCCGAGAATTCTTCTGTTTCTAGAGTTCTTCGTTTCTCGTGCCAAGGTCGCGTCGGCTAAGAGAAGCGAAAAGGGCTATGGGGACGAGAACGGGCGTGATCTAGGTTTTCTAGTCTCCAGTCTCCCAATGAAAGGCGCGGATCCTGCTCCTTGTGTCACGCGATCAAAGGGAATTTTTGTCCGTGCTCCAGTGGTGAAGGAAACACAGAATACATACTAAAATACCTTTTCGCTTTGTGACAGTACATTTTTATACAATAGCTTATACAGAGATGGCATCTAACAGCACCATCGAGGACACAAGCTTTATAGAAAAGGGAAGCCAAAACGAAACTGGTGAGTTAACGATTCACATACTGCTGCATATGAATACATACAGAACAGGAAAAATGCTGTAGGAACACTGACCTCAAGATCGGTTATTAACAAAGTTGCTTCACCATTTCAGACAAGCAAATGCATAAATATTGAATCTAAGGTTTGTTCCGCAAATAAAAACAAAAGTGTGTGTCATTTGGCTACACGATTTGTTCGCAATATGCACCATTTAATATGCGTTCATGCAAGTGGAGTATGCAAATTTAAATTCTTGGTCACGAAAACCTACTTCCTCTTTCTGTTATGTTGATATTTACATATTTATATATTAGATGATTTTCCGAACTTAGCATTTCATGTAAAAAGGAACCTTGCATACGCTCTAGAGACTCAGACTTTAAACAATCAGTGCAGTATTCATGCGTTTTCATCCCTAATTAATTTTTTTTCCTTTGTTTTCTTTTTAAAATAACAAAAGAAGAGAATAAATTAGGGATAACTGAAACGCATGCAGAATCTTAAAACTCCGATTTGGCTTATTTTACCAACACCTTTCCGTCTGTAGGAGGAGACCAATCAGAAAAGAAGTTGAAGCATTGCTTTTCTGAACCCTGGGAAGATAGTGACGTAATTCTCGTGGTGAAGAATGAGAAGTTTCATGTTCATCGTCTGATACTGAGTATGAACTCTCCAGTGTTCAAGGCTATGTTCAAATCACAATTTAAAGAAGCCACAACCAACGAGATTCCTCTGCCTGAGAAAAATGCCAGTGGTGTTCTGGACTTTCTGAAGATAATTTACGGCTTCCAATACATCCAAGAGAGAGTGGAAATTACAAGTAAGTATTTTTGCAACATAATTAAAGCTAACGTACATGGCAAATGTTTCCGCTGGAGAGGAATTATCCTACGGTCATACAAAATCTTTGGACCTTCTAGCTTGCTTCGAAGCTAAGATGTTTAGGAAAGTCTTTCACAGTAACATCGCAACTTGCCTGGCGCTATTTACCTCTGAAAAGTAAATTTGGGCTTTTGTTTAATTTAGACCTTTCCTTTCAATGTTTTTAGTGGAAAATGTGGAAGATCTTCTACAATTAAGTCACGAGTATCAGGTGAAACAACTCATATTCGACCCTTGTGTGAAGTTTCTCGAGGACCAACCTAAAACAAAAGAAAACGTCATGAAGA